GTGTGTGTGTATGTGTGGGTGTGTGTGTGTCTAGGTGTGTATATTATGACCTAAACCCATAGAAAACATTTGTTGAAGAAATTTAATCCCAACTTGATTTTGATGAAGATCTGCTCATTTTCTTTAAAACCAGAATGTGACTTGGTCAGAGATTAATTATCCAAAGCAATTATTACTATTAACTTATAAAGTTAGTTCAGACCTTAATAAGAATTAATACATGTTCATAGTCCACCACTTAAATATGAACCAAATTCACAGCTCTAGCTAGTTCATATTTATTCATCAAATTTAGTTTTTATGTTATTGCTCATGTTTACCATATATGTCTTTTACTCATTTTTCATATTTTTCGTCTTTCTTTTGATGTTTGAATTCCCCAAATTACTCCCCTTATTCAAATGCTTTAATACTTTCACAGAGAGAAAGCAACATGTCTTTCTAGACAGTCAGGCACTTGGATTATGTTTGTGATTGTTTATAGAACAGTAAAAGTTTTGTCTTCATCTTATTTCTTTATGATGTTCTAGTAAATCATAAAGGCCAAGAAAATTCTCAAATCCATAATTGTAAAATTTAGACAAAATTATTCAGCTATTTGAAGAAAATGTTGGAGAAGACTGAATAAATTCAGAAAAAAACCATCAAACTGACTTCAGTGCACTAATAACATCCAGATCAGTCTGCCGGCTTTAAATCGTCTATGCAGTTATGAAATGTCAACTGGGTTTTTTCAGAAGACAGCACCATGGTAAAGTTTTATTGAGACTGGGGAGATAAACTTTATCAATAACTGGTTATTCACCATTTGCTTGCTGAGGTGACCCAGCTATTCAGTAATACATTTGAGATTTACTAAAACAGTAAAAAAAAAAAACACCCAAAAATCATGCTTGCATGAAACAAAATATTGATGGAACAATTTGCTGTTCTTCATGCAGTAAGACGATCAATACCCCAGCAGAAAACTCTAACGATTCAATATGTATAGGATCTGTACAGAAATATTATCCTGCTTCTGCTGGCCCTTCCATATTGCTCCTTGGAGAAGCGTTTTACCATGACATGAATCCAACCAGCCAACATAAATAAAACTATTTTCAGTGAGACTGAGATGTCCCAGAGTTTAAATATCTAACGATTTTTAAATCCTGAAACTAGTCAGCTCACAGTCATTTTTTCAGAAGTATTGTCTATTTATGTTGTTGTGCCAGTTATTATGAGTCTTGCATCATATGGCTGGAAAAAAAGGCATGGGCCAAAATGCCATCATGAATTTAACATAGTCTAGAAGTGCTATGTTTTTATAGGATTTTACACACATTTCAAATTAAAATCAGATTTGACTTAATACAGATGATTGGTTAGTTTTTATTTATTTATGGTATTTCTTGGGATTTGTATACTGAAGTAGAACTATTAACACTAAATTTAACATCGGACTGGCAATATAACAAGATTATACCTTGCTGCTCTAACATGAATAAAAAGCTATTAGCTCATTACCAGACTAGCCAGCCTGCAGTCAGCTGCTTTATTGACCTGCTTCTCATGGATGTAGTTTTTAATTATTTACCTTTCAAAGAGTGATTGTGCTTCCCAGTTTCCATGCCATGACGGTCCATGTTTTTTGCTGTGAATAATTCCCAAGTAGTTGATGTGAAAGAACCTAATGATTTGTTCGAGAAAATCATGTTATCCCTCTTCTTGACAGATGTTGTAGTTGCTCTGGTTGTTTGTCTAGAAAACCTTTTAACCTGAAACTGTGATTGCTGCACAAAACACTAACTTGCATTCTCCATCACACCTTTTAGTGAAATATCAACATCACAAGAAATTTCGTCAACATGGTGTTTGTTAGGCTACTGTTTTTCAAGATTATTATAACATATATGGCCAGTTGGATGTGCTTTCTGTGCCCTGGATTTCCATGCATAAGGCATCTAGATGTTGACTGGTTTGACACATTGTAGTATCTCCTACAGTCTGTTTTTTCATTATTCTTTTTTTTTTTCTTTTACCAGAGCTTATAAAAGCTCACTAATTAAACAGCTAAAATGAACTTGTTAAACTTGCAGTGTTTATGTAGGACAGAATGAAAAAAAGGGACCATTCCTGTACTTTAAAATTCAGACTAAATTCACCACATTTATTACATATTTGTGTTGTAATCATAACCGCTGTTTAAATCTGTGAAAGAGTAAAATCCCCTTGAAACTTTTAGCAGATTTTTTGTCCTTTTTAAACAAATTCCACTTCTGATTCCACAGCCTGATTAATTTTTCTTTTCTTTTTTTCAACCACTTTCCTCACAATCACTCTAATAAGCCAACCTGAGAGTGACGGTCTGTTTTGGTGCAGCGGCACATTTAATGAAACTTTAGCCAATGAACTACTGACTTGTCTAAACATTTATGTTTTTAGCAATTGAAAATGGTTTGGCAACAAAAAAAGCAGCTGAGAGAAATTTAATGAGACATGTTTTTATTTTAGAGATTTGTTAATTAGATTATTTCTCACTTTAGCTACACAAAAGACTTGAAATCTAAATGGACGAAATACTTTTACTTATATATTTGTGAACATGGACTATGATTGAGAAAATAATGGTGTCACCAAATAATAAAATCTATTGCATTAAACCATCTTTCAAACATTATTAATGCACAAACTGGCTTCTATGACCATATAGGTGTGAGTGTATGTGTTGTCAAATGTTTTCTGCACAGTACATCTTCACATATTGATTTTGCATAATGCTCGGCAGTAGAATGTTGTTCTGTGACATTCCTACTATATGTTGACTCCTGTCCTATTTAATAATCTTATTTTTGGTTTAATTTAACTCAGGAAAACTGCAAATGTACTGTGACTGATCACCGTCCTCAAGCGAGAGCTGCTTTGTGTGTAATTGGTCACAAGAGGGCACTAAACTTCATTATCCCCGGAGACAAACATTCCCATTTCTGTCACCTCTCATTGAGTGTCACACATGAGACTGTTCACTTATAATAGGAGATTTTACTGCATGACTGTTTCATCTTGCCTTGGGGTTCCCAGGACAGTTACAGTTGTAAAAACAGACAGATGTTCTCATTTTCACCCACTGCTAAAATGCCAGCGGTGTAGATTCTCACTTCCGCATGTCTGTTTTCTATCTAGATAAACCCACAAAAGATCAATGCTCAAAGTTTTTATTTATCTTTTTTTAAAGATGTTTTGTGCCATTTGTTTCTGTTAAAATATATATTTTTTCATAAATAAAACTCAAGCTTAGCTTTGACTAATTGATGAAAACAAAAGACTTGGTGGATCACATCACAATATGGTTAGCTATTGTGATGACTGTATACCAGACAAAATGCATGTTTGATGAACATATTTTATTCATCTTATACTGACAAGATGAAACATGTATTTATACAGATATGCATTTAGTTGTAAGACGCATAAATTGGTACATAAAAATTGGATTACTCAGAGACTTTTTTTCTTCCATTTAAACTATTTAGAACAATTTTGCACCATTAGGCAGCTTAAGATAAAGAGACTTTTTATTTATTTACTATCATTGAGAATCAGATTATGTTTTCTGCTTGAATGACTGAATGGTAACCTTGCCTTTTAGTCTTGGATATATCTCATAAGTACTAATGTTAGATTAAATCTCTGATATATGGTGAGAGTGTTATTCTTTGTGAATAAACAAAGCAAACATTGTTGTCAATTTGTGTGCAAATAGTATGTAGTAGTAACAATAGTAACAACTTCCTGGATCAATAACTGATCAGGAAAACACAAAACACAATCAGTTCTTTGTTATAAATCTGATTAGGTAAACAAATAATTGCATACAATCTATTATAAAGTATTACTTGTCACTTTGGTTTAGGATGTAGAAATATAATCCATTTTGTTTGTGACCATTTACTAACATTTAACCTGTTTTTTCCTTCTGAGTTCTGTTTATATTGATATATCATTTAAAATTTGCTTTCAATAATTGTGTGGATGTTTGAAATTCACCTTCCCCCGACATGACTTAGTCAGCTTGAGTGGACTCCATCTTGGCACTAATGAAACTAAACCCCATAAAACTTTTTTTTTTTAAGCTAGCTCAAACTTCAACCTGAAGATCATTGTACTGCTAAAGCAATTGACTGTTTATTGGTTTCTGGCGGCTATTTTTTAGGAGATGTTCAAGAATTTGGAAGCAGTCCTCTTATTTCATCAACTTTCTTTAATGCATTAATGCCACTTGCAGCAAAACAACCCTTGAGCATGACGCTGCCACCTGCTTCCTTCTCGGTCTCCACCCTCTTAGACCACGATGATGTTAAATTAGCCCGATGTGGGTGGTGAGCAACTGCCAGCTGATGAACATCCTGAGTTTGTTTGAACAGAGGGAGATGTTTAAGTCACATAATTAGAACTTGAATCAAATGTAGTTTTGAAACAGAACAATAATCCCAAATGTGTGTCAGAAAAGGTTTTGCAAAGCCATTAAGTTTTTGAATGTCTCTGACCTGGACCCTTTTTGGAAATGTGTTGAATATGCCTCACAGCGGACTCCATTCTAAGAAATGGACTAATTTAAATAAACTTGACAAGAAGATTGATCAATTCGTCAGAATTATGCCAGAAGCTTGCTGATGGCTACAAAAAAATGTCAAGTTGAAATGTAACTTGTTAAAATGATTGAGCAGACATTAACAGGGGTTATTTCCTATCATTAATCATTGTCATTAGTGACATTCATGCCTATGATCAGTTTATATAAATTTATGATCAGTACTACATACCTATCAGCTTACAGCTGACTTCTTTACTGAAACATTTTTTTCTTTGTTCAATAAAGTTGAAAGACTGAAACTTGATCTGTGAATTTAAGTTTAATTTTATTTAAAATAATTGCAATTTATCAGCCTTCGGCTCAAATGACAGCAGATATATTTGCTTCATAAACTTTTCTGTGTTTTTGAATTTCTCCCTGTCTACAGGTCGAGAGAAGAGAAAGGATTCCATGATCTCTGCAGGTGATGCCGAGTTCCCACGAGATTACCACACCCTGGCTGCCAGGGGCGGCCGTGGGGCACGGCGGTTCCAGGACAACAGCAATGGAGGGTTCACGTCTTCCTCACTGGACCGCCGGCACAACTCTGTGGCTGCTAAGAGCTTGGAGGCCCTGAACAGCATGCACAAGGCGGACATCGAACGGCAGCGAGACGCCCTGATGGACCTCCAGAAGAACAAGTACACAAACAGTCCGGGCGGCTTGTCACAAAGCTCCGCTGCTGCTGGCCGACAGGTATCTTCACAAACCCACAAAATAATTACGAAATCAATGTTTCTGCAACTGAGCCAGGAATATTTTCTTGGCAAATCCTATTTGTGTAGTGGTGTGTTTTTATGCCCTCTTTATGTTTTTAATTGATGCAGCTTCTTTTGGATTTCAGTATTCCTAATCACCACATCTTGAATCCAGCTTTAAGTGGTATAAGTGGATTTGTAGTTGTGCCATTGGGTCTAACTAGATGTAATGACACAAAACCTCACACTGCTTTAAATAATCTGTGTTTTTGGGGATTTATGTTACCATTTGAGAAGTTGAAATCTTTTAAAACAAGGCATTTTTACGCCCCTTCCATCCTCCTGCCAAAAAAGCCTAAAAAGCAACAACTGAATTCGTTAATTAGTTGTCAAGCTCAGCATGGGGTTGGTTCATTAACTTTGAGTCTTGTAGAAAATAATACCAGACCAAGTGTTTTGTAACCATATTTCTAGAATGTTTTAAAAAGTGGCAACACAATTGATTTTGAAATTCAGAATGCATAGGAACCCTCATAAAATGAACCCAAAATACCGACGTTGTCATTGGAAAAGTGGTGGGAAGTTGTTTTGGAGTGCTTAAAAAAGTTCAAACTGTTTATTTTGTGATTGGATTTTTTCTTAAGGACTTCTAGCTATGTTCTGGTGAGATGCCTGCTGTTTAGGAGGGGAACTTCAGGGAGCTAACTTTGGGCTACCAACTGAACAATAAAAATGAAACCACCAACTTTGCAGGGAGCGTAAAAGGAGACATGCACAATAAACAAGGAGCAGAAACAGAGCTGTCTGGGTTTTGAAGGAGCCTGTTAACAATATTTGCTTTGCCTCAATACCAACATACTTTTAAATAAGTTTCCCGTATTCCTCGCTCAACTTCTATAGTTTATTTGAAGCCTCATCAATTTACTCTTTTTAGTTTGTTTGTCTGGTGATGCAATATGAATGAAAACGAAACAATTGCTTGTTCCATCTTTAAGCCAAGGACGCTTGGGCTTTGGATATATAATTGTCCACTGCCGGTCACACGATCACAGCATGTTTTCAGTATCTGCTTAAACTAAAAAAAAATAATAAAAAAGTTCTTGTGTGTGTACTCTGCTGCAGTTTCATGTTCCACTGTTTTAAGTGGAACATTATAGTGTCACCTTAAGGGGGAATTGAGCTCTTTCTGAGTGCCTTTTGTTTCTACATGTGTGCATTTACTTTTGCTCCCTGTGAGAAAATGGCAGCACATCGGTGGGTTCTGGATACTTACATGAGCGTATTAGTGGTGAGATGCCTGTTGGCCTTGAGATGGAGACCACAGCACCTTTATGACCTGCTGGAAGGGTCACTAATGGCCATTCTTTTTGTTTATTATCAGAAAGAGTGAGCAATAAAAAAGGGGAAACAGATCCCAGAGATGTAGAGAGAAATTAAATTCTCTGCCCCTTCACATCTTTATTTTCTTGGCATCTTTTACTCTTGAGTCATCAATCATCAGCTGCTCTGACTTTATATCTCAAACAGAACTGCCTGACTCAGCTATTTTATGTTTGCCTTAAAGGACTCTTTAGCAGTTATTTCAGGAAAATGGGCCCATTTCTTTCCATAGACACAAACTTAACCCCCTGTATTTTTGTATTGGTACAGTGTACAATCTATAGACAATAAACAGTTTCTGACAGTTGTTGTCTTCTTGTTAAATATGTGGTGGGTACGGCTTTGGGCTGTAACCTGGATGACACAGCAAGCGTTTTCATTTAGTTCAAAAGCAAAGTTGCAGTACTTTTGTTTCTGTAACATTTCACAAGATTATTGGCGATGGATCTTTTTTCTGTTCCTCTAGACCAATTTCAATCTAGGTTGTGCAGTTAAGCATTGGAAAACTTGATGAATTTTGCAATATAAATTCATCAAGTTGAAAAAAAATTACAAGGTCATTCTTGCTTTTTTAATTTATCTCATTAAATAAAATAACATATAACATTTTAGACCTCTTAGATTTCTTTTGTTGGTCCACTACAGATGTTGGAAGTGATTGTGAAAGGTTTGATGAGAAGTTTTAGACATTTAAAGGTAAAACTGATTAATTTTTCCACATCCACTTTGTTTATTTTAAACAGCTGGATATGCTTAAATTTACTAAACTTTTTCCTCTTAAAAAAACATTTTGAGGAGATGCATCTTTTTTTTAATATTTTTATTCTGCTTTTGCATTAAAGACACAGGTATGTAATGCGTTTAGTTCTGCACCCTCTGTCATTTCTCCATCTCATCTTTTTCTCTCTCCACCCACTCTGACCACCCCCACCCCTCCCACCCCTCTGTGCAGCCTCTCTGCATCTGACATTCACCATTTGTCTGATTTAAAATTAAGAGGTGAAAACAGGTGGAGTCTGCTGTTGTCATGGCAACCCCCTGCTTCCCATATAAGGAAACTGTGTGATATCATATGGCTGGGAACGAACATGCTGTACCAGGAGTGAGGAAGCCACCGCGAAGGAGCGAGGAATCAGAGGCAGAGGAGGAGGAGGAGGAAAGGGCTTCTTCATCGTTTCTTTTAGGGATGGAGGGGAGATAGAGAGTGACGGACGGACGGGAGGAGGAGGGGTCGGGAGACATGCTCAGTGCCACTTAGGCGCTACTACCGGAATCAGCGAGGGGGGACTGGCAGATCCTCTGGGCGCGGGAATACTCTGAGCCGCAGTGGAGGAGAAGAAGGGGGGAAAAAAAAGGGAAATGGAGAGAGGGGAGGAAGAAGAGGGAGGCGTGTGGAGCGTGAAGATGCAGAGTCACTAAGTGCAAACGGTAACTCTCTAACCTCCTCCTTCCATCCTTCAGGCGAGGCTTTCAACCAGGCTTTCTGTGACGGATGTGTTGCTGCATGATAGACGTGAATGTTCACCTGCCTCCTCTTTTATTTTGAGCTGAAGCTTGACCAGTGAGCACACACTCCATCTCCTCCTGGTGCTCAACGTGAGCTGCCTGTTTTCAGGGGAGGGTTCCATCCATGCAGGCAGGTGAGGGTCAGGTGTGTCATAGCTGCCGCAGTGATTTGTATGAGGTTAATTACAGAAATGCTTGCGTGCACGTGTGAAAACAAACAAAAAATAAATAAATAAAAAAGAAAGAGAAAAAGGAAAGCATGGCATGTGCGAGAGGCTCTTGTGTGTTAGAGGCAAGGTGAAGTGTTGGTGAGGGAGGTGGGTGGGCACAAAGATGGCTACTTGACATGCAGGTCAGGCATGCATGTCTATCTGCCCAGCCCTTTCTCTCTACCTTTACTCCTGGATATCTATGATCGATCTTAGCTTTCCGCTCAAGAATCAGAAATTTTACAGGCGATCATCCCTGAGCCAGTGTGTGAGGTTTGGGGTGTGAGGAGTGTGCTTAATCTAGGTGAGACCAGTAGTTTTATAGTCCAATATGGTGTGTCATATTGTCTCGCTGCCACTTTTTTTTTTTTGTCTTTTCAATTTCTGGTGAATAAATGAAGCGAGTGAGCGATTACGCAGTGCCCAGCCCTGTGTGACTGCTCAGATTTATATTAAGGATTATAACACAATGGGTGCTTGACTTCACAGTGATCAGCTGTTTGTTTCTGTCGCAGTAATAGTGAGAACCTGGGAGAAGTCTGATAATATTAATGGCCGTTTTCTCAGTTGTCTGCTTGTAATTATGGAGCAACAGTGTGGAACTGCTTCAGAGCTGAAGGGATGAAGCCGCAGGATACTGAGATTTCTAGTTTTTATATTTCAAGAAATTATTCATGACAGGGTTAGACCTCCTTTCAAAGTATGGCAATATAATTAAATTTAACCAGGAATGATTTCCTTGAATAGAATCGCTGCCTCAGAGCACTTTGGGTACATTATTCATCCCCTCATCCCTGCAAAGAAACATTTTATTCTCATTCTAATGGTGAAATCAACCCTTTTAACATCTAAGATGCAGTGATGCAGTATGTAGCAGTCAGTGTTGGAATGAAGCAACTAATTGGAGACTTAACATAAAAACTACTTACCATTAATATGTAAATTTTTTATGTAGACCTTGGGAATTCCTGTTAAAGATTTTAGATGTACCGGCCAGGTTTCTCCTACTGGGTGCCAGTCTTGCTTTGCGCAGTTGAAGGTTCATTGTTATTGTTTTAATTGTGTGAAAGGGGTGGCATTCTGCATGGTGTTAATCACCTTAACATTGGGGTGTAAGATGCGTATAAAGCCTACAGATTCTTCATTTTAGGCCCGAGAATCCTTTTATCAACATCAAAAAGTTGTGTAGTATTAATTTGTTTATTTTGGGGAAAACAAATTAATAAATAAAAGACTCCATTCTTCTACTCAAAAATGCAACAAAGTGATTTAATACTATGTATAATCAGGCTTGAAACTTTGAAAATGTACTTGTTTTTTTTTATGGCACACAAAGGAGCCCATTTTGATTCATCACGACTTAATAAGCGGCTCTTAAATGTCTAATTAAAAACTCATGAAAGCATATTTTGCTGAGTCGTCAGCTCAGTGAACTGAACACAACCAACATCAGACGGTAATGGAAACTTAGTCTTTCAGGGTTCCTTAAAAGTTTGGTAAAGTTTTTTTTTCTTAGATTTTTTTCATTGTGTACATGTGAATTATAAATTTTTACATGAACATGAAATGTCTGAATTTCTGAAAATAGTCTTTTTACATTGTCAATGTGGTTGACCTGCCTTTTTGTGTTTTGTGTTTTTTTTCCCCATTCCATTGATTATTCTACTTTCTGACAGAAAACACAAGTAAATGCTCATCTACTCTAAAATATGTATAGAATAACCAGTTTGCGGATTTTGACAACTAAATACTCTTAAGGCAGTGGCAACCCTGAATTGGGTAAATGTCTGCAAACAATGTAAATACATCACATATAATAAAATCTAATAGAAATTTCAAAAGTTCACAAGTGTTGTAGATTTTGAAACAAAGCTGATGTTTTGTTTTTCCACATGGCCCTTTA